TGCTGCAGGTCCAGAGGGAAGGAATGAAGCAGCTCTCTCTGATGGACCAGAAGCTGAAGGCAGAATCCATCCCTGGAGCATCTTCTGAGTTATTTCAGGAGTAACTCCAAGTCACCACACAAGTTCAGGACTCTTTTCTTCCCCTTGGAGCCGCAGTTTTTATTTGAGGCCTGACTGGAAGCAGATGGACCTGTCAGGGCTCCTCAGGCAGGTGAGGGAGCGGGGGATGAGCTGCTAAGTGCTCCCAGCTGCTGGGCAGAGCCCCGAGGAAATTGTTGGAGCTGGGACACAGCTCCGAGGTGAGATCTGGAGCCAGCGCCAAGAAGGAAGGAGTGAATTTCTCCAAAACACCATTCTCTGAAAACCTGAAAAAGCGAGGCTTTTGAAATAAGAGAAAATAGCTGAAAATACCTGAAAAATACATATCTAATATATCTTCAGACTTCAGAGAGGCAGAAGCCATCTTCAGCCCCTGCCCCCATCTCTGGTTTTGCTCAGGATCTACCTCCTTAGGCAGCAAATATTATTTTTCCAGGGGTTTCTCCCYATCACTGGTGTTTCCCTCTCCAGAAAGGTCCTGACTTTTACTTKCTGCTTTGTGTCATTTGATTTATAAGCTCAAGGGGTCCTTCTCAAAACCTGGASTCCTTCTTGTACTTAATTGCTACAATAAACTGAAAACTTGGTGTTTTAGGAGCAACAATCTGGAAGGAAATTGTTTGATGTATGGARGTAGATGGTAGGTCCTTCTTGGGAATGTCACCAAAGGGACACAGTGGAGAAGTGGCTTCATAAATCACTGGAAAATTCAGAAAGTCCACGAGCTCAGGGAGAGCAGAGCTCTATTAAGCACAAACAGCTTGCAGGGAAATTCCCAACATCTGCAAAAGTCCTCTCAGCCCTGTAATTCCCAACAGCCTCGACTGCTGCATGCACCCAGCACTGATTCCCTCCAGGGCTGGTGGTCTGGGATCCCGTGGAAAGGGATGCCTGGAGTTTGCATCCCAAAATGCAAATAAACCAGTGAGAAAAAAGAGGTGATCAACAAGTTAAAGCTTTTATTCACATTGGGAGAGAGGTGGTTTTCCTTTTCCTAATTTGGATATTACTGTATAAAAAATAGCTCTCAATGTTTTAAAATCTGTTTTTTGCAGTGGGTGCAGCATTGGTGGAGCATGGAGTAGGCACGGATGGACTTCCTGCATGTTCTGGGCAATGGCATGATTCCTGCCATGGCTCCAAGTGATGCAGCAATAAAGAAAATTATAAAATTCATCYAGCAAATGCCAAGGAATGAAGCATCTTGTGGCTGCAAAATGCAGTTCCAGCTGCTGAGTTCCTGTAGCACAACCCTGCAGGAGTTGGGAATGCATCCCCCTGCACCCAGAATCCAAAATCCATCCAGGMTGGGAGAGCCACCACAGCACCAGCGATTTTATAATTGTCTGAACCTCTCCTTTAGCTTCCTGAGCTRTGCTTTATGAGTCACCACAGATGTTGTGTGTTCTGGGGGACAACCAGACACCCAAAACGAGGAGGAAAGGACACGTAAATATTGTGGCCCCATCTGTTTCCAATAGGCTGTGTTTACATATTAATGTGCAATACAAATTTGTAAACATGAGCATTTGAAACTTTTGGAGGAACCGATCCCGGCCTTTTCCCTTTCTGCAGATTTATTGGAACAACATGTCCCCAGCCCCAGCCACACATGGACATGGTTTCCATACTGGATGCATTTCAAATGGTCTGGGTGCTTATTTGTTCTGCTCTATCTTGCTATCCAATCCTCGTTTGCTTTGCATAATTGTGATACAAATTATCATCTAATTACAGCCCCAACCTCAGCAGATCAAATGTAAACCGAGGCACTTCCATCACAAAAAGCGACATCCGATGCTCCCTCTACGCCTTTGGCTTCTCCAATGGATGGATTAAATTTGGGTGAAACCAGAGAGTCAACTGCACTTTGATTAAAAATATTATTGCCGGGTATTTTGTCTCCTTGGATTTTAAATCAACCCCCGTGTCTGAGCACCGAGCCCATCCCATGTCCCCGTGTTGAGTACGGACACGGCATCTCTGGAATTGCCAGTTTTACTTGCTGAGTGCTATGAACAGGCTCAGATATTCCCATAGAACTTCAAACTCCTCTTGGGAAAGGTCAAATGACTAATAGCTGAGATTGTTCAGCAAGTTTCATCCTTGCAAAAAAAAAAAAAAATCCTTTGATTTTTTTTCTCCCTGTTCTCATTTAAAGATAGCGCTGCAATCCTGAGGTGAGGTTTGTATTTGCCCACTCTGCCTGAAGAACTGGGAACTTTGACACAGCCACAAATTTTCCAATAATGTTTGTGGCAGGAAATACTAAACAGCACGTGATGTAATTGTATTGACAGGCACATGAGCCTGCTTGAAATATCAGCCTCAATTTGCCCATTTCTAGTTTAATAAATCATATTTATTAATCTGATTTATTCTCTCAAATTCTGCCACTCACCTTCCACCAAGTGGATCTTTTACAAAGCACCCTGAGAGTGTAGAGTGCAGGTTATCTGCTTTTTGGGGCACAATTATTTTAATATACAGGCAAACCCATCTATTTKATAGTGTGAGTGAATCAGCTGAGTCACCACTGTGGCTATGAAAAATATTCCTGTGCCAGAAGGGCCCAGGAGCTTGGTCTGGTCTGAGGTGGCCACAGTGGCACATGACAAAGAGCTGCCACTGCCTGAAAACACCACCCACATCCTTTTTATTTCTTACAGTGATTTTTGAAAAGATAAAACCAGGAGATGAAGGCAAAGGAAATGGAAATAACCCTCTGATAACCCAGATCACGCAGCTCCTCTCATGCGGTGCTGATTCTCATATGGACAAATGGATATTTCTGGATCTGCCTGATGTGCACCCTCCCAAAGTGTGGCACCCCTGGGACAGGCTCAGACCTTGCAGGGACCAGGCTCTGGGTGTTTTTCCCATGTGGCTGTGATGAGGGAGGATGRAGAAACCCAGGATCCTGTGGGACCCACAGAGGTGCTTTGAAATCCACTGGAATCAGCCAAGCATCATTCCTGGTGGAGCAAATCACTGCACCAAAAATATCTATCCCAGTCATTATCAGTCACAYTTTTAACCAGACACTGATTTGCAGGATTACAGCTCATGGCCAGCAACTCTGGAATATCTTATGCAAYCGCAAATATTTGGAAAATTGGAAGTTCCCCATTGCACAAATCCGTGACTGATCRGGAAGAGCCTTCCAGCTCCCCAGGAGTACAACCACATGTGGGGACTGGGTCGTGGTCACTCAGCTGGACAGAACCTGTCCAGGGCCAGCAGTGGACTTRCCACGGGGATTCTGTAATACCAATGTTGGAAATAAGGACTCCCACAGGAAAAAAAAAAGGTTTTTTTTCTTTTTCTTTTTAATAAAAATAGTGAGATAAACTGCTAAGAAACAGCCCACGTAAGCAGAAAAAAAAAAAAAAGTTTTTTTTCTTTTTCTTTTTAATAAAAATAGTGAGATAAACTGCTAAGAAACAGCCCACGTAAGCAGATTTGTTCATTTTTACAGTTGTACAGACCATTTTGGACAAACCCCTGTTTCATATTGGCATCACTGGGGACTCTGTGAACACCCAAAGCAGGAAAATTAGGGAAACCAATGTTGTCTGAATTTTATCAAAGTCTCGTGAAAGTAAAAGTGTAAATTTTGTTAATTAGCAGCTTTTGATATTGCTTATTCTGCTCTGAATGCGTTGTCTGTTAAAGAAGAAAATAGAATCAAAACTCTAACAACAGTTTTGATTCTTAAACCTCTGCCTAATGCTGCTATATTCTGCCTTGTGTTTGAAAATGCAGGATTAATCCCAAAATGGGACTGGACCCAGCCAAGACTTACTTTTCAATCACTACCATCTATTRAGTGATAAATTTGACTTCAGGTAGAAACAGAACATTGATCAAATAAAGAATAAAACCTGTGTCCTGATTTATTGTGAGTTACATGGGGCCTTTGGGAGCTGGAGATTATTTACAGGAATGACAAGAACATCCACAGGTTACAAGAAAACAAACAGAGTTTTGGAAGGAATAGGAAATCTCACATTCCAGGGCTTGTAGGGTTGTAATTCTCCATAAAGGATCTGTGTTCTCCATGGGACTGAGCAGGAGCATCCCTGCCCCTTCCCTAGGGCACAGGCTGGATCCCAGGTGGATCTTGTGTGTCCCTTGGGGCTGAGAGCTCTGGGTCAGAGGATTGTCCTGCAGGGCTCCTGGAGGTGTTTCACCCCACACAACTCTCCGAGATGGATCCTTCAGGTCCCCAGCACTGATCCATTTCACCACGGGAAAGATGTGTGACCCCATCCCTGTTCTTCCCACCACATCATCAATGCCATTGGAGGGTGGGGCATGGAAAAGAGGGCTCTGGGGCACCCCTCAGCTTCTCATCCCCATCCATCTTTCATCCTGCCTTTCTTTACCCTGGCAGCAGATACATGGATTCAAAATACTTGGATTTATGTTCACCCTGATAACGGAAGAGTCCTGGAGAACAAGGGACTTTCATGTCATTAATTAGGACCCATTAGAGCCAAGGGAACTTGAGAACAAGCTCGAGTGCTTGCCCAGATGTGGCTCCTTTTCCAGCTCCAGGTCTTGGAGAGTCCCTTTGAAATTAAGGATAAAACTGGAGAGGGTGAGCAGCAGCTCCCCGGGGCTCTGCGCTAACTAAAGGCAAGCGAGAGAGAGAAAACAGATTTGTAGAAATACAGATGTCTACGCCCCCACTTGAGAGTGCAAATAGTAAAAAGGTGACTGAGAGCTTGCTCTTAATCTACAACTGTGACATAAATATGATCAAAATGTATCACCTCATCTCAGACCCTCCACCCTCCCAGATCCTCCACCCTCCCAACAACACGACGTTTCTGCCCACAAAAAAAAAAGGATTAAATGCCTGCCCATGCCACTCCTGTACCATGCAGCATTTCAGAGTCAATAACTAACAAGCCCCTGGGTATGAAGGAAGGAAGGACTTGCTTTACACAGCAACGTTTAGAAATATTCTCTGATCCCACTAAAGGCAGTGGTTAATTGTGGGGTGCCAGTTGRAGTGATTGCATCTGCCGTCCCTCAAAGCAGCCGGAATGCTGTCACTCACTTTGAAATGGCCTGCTGCATTCATCAGTCTGGATGGCACGGAGAAGTTATAACCATACAAGCCATATGGAGGATGTAAAGAACAATTAAGTGCTTCCCGAGCAATGGGACTTGATGGGAAAATGTTTCCAGATGCATGTAATCCATACAGCATTTGACCAGCAGAACCGGGGGCTTGTAGGCACTGAGCGTTTAAGTCTTCGGCTTTGGCGTTTTTCAGGGAAGACAGCTTGGGCATCTCCACCATGAAGTGGGGTAGAAGGTGTGGGTTGGTGGCTCCCAGTTTTTCGTGGCTCGGAAAGAGGAGYGCCTGTTGTCTCAAGAAGCTCGTGGGGCAGATCTTGTAGTAGAGGGGCACGTTGAGGGGGTGCAGGAAGCTCTCGGGGCACGACACGGCCAAGTTGCTCGCGGGCAGGTGAAGCGTGGGAGGGGAGCACGATGGAGAGAGCAGGGGGTTCAAAGGAGAGGGGGTCCCACCGCTGGAGGCCACTGGAGAAGAGCTGGAGCTCCCACCTGCAAAGGAAAATAAAAATCATCCAAGCTGGGCTAGCTGTTGTCCACAGCCAAGCATCCTTGGAGGACTCCTGCTCCCGCTCCAGCTCTCCCTGCTGCTGATGTCCATCCAAGCACGAACTCGCTGCAAAGACCAGCTCCTGGAAAATGGGAATATCTATCCATAAATTGTTATTGTTGCTTGGCATTTGTCTAAGAACAATATTCACACGTGTAATCCCATTCCTTGGACTGGGATCGTAGTAAATCCAGCTCCACACACACCTGGATCTGTACCTGGCTGCACAACCGATAACCTTCCCTTGCTATGCCCACACTATTGCTATTTCTGTTCCCTATTTTTCATGCAAATTCCAGACAGCTTTTTCCACTCGGATACAAGAACAAAAAAGCATATTCAGCCTGATGGAGAATTTTTTTGCACCTTCCTGCTCACAGGAATTGACTCATTTCACTTGGCTTCACAAGCAATTTGAAACATACCCCTGAATGCTATCGGTGTCTCCAGAAATTCGAACTCACATGTCATGTGAACGTCCTCCTTTCTGGAAGGGATGAATGAACACTTTCAGAATTCAGGAGAAAAGCACCCCCAATGAGTAAAAAYGAAGCAGGGATGGGATGGCTGCTCCGAGGTGGGAATGGTGCTCGGGAGCAGCCGGCCCTGGTGCTACACAGATGCCGGTTTCATCTCCCGCCTGTGGAGAGCCAAATGTCTGCTGCACATTCACTACCAAATTCTTCCAGAGGGTTTTYCCCCTCACCTTTATTTTAATTTCTTACCAAAATCACTGGGAAAGGATGTGAGGGAAGGTGGATCAATTTGTGCTACGATTTACATTCAATTCCAAGCAATACAGTGCCTGGCTGGGAACTGATCTGACTTTACAGGCAACCAACGACCTGAAATCAACTGTAAAACTGAACCACATCTGCTGGTAGAGCAAACCTAAAAAAAAAACCAAACCTTAAAAGCACAAAATTTTGGATGTGGTGCAAATTAATTTCCAAACTCSCAACAAGCAGAACCTCTCACAGGTCAGCCCTTGGTCACAATGATCCGGGAAGGTTTTGTGGTGTGAAGGTCTCACCCTTCCGTGCTGATGTCAGTGGCTGCTTCGGTCCTGACATCAGCAGGGCAGGATCCCGTCCTCTCTCCATGGATGTATCCTGAGGTTCTCCATGGAAAATGATGGGATTGAGCTGAAAATTGTGTGTGAGGCAGAATCCCTGCGTGGTTGAATACAGCAGAGCAAAGCAGGGGCAGTATCTGCTTCACAGTATACTAAGCAACAATATCGYCCAAATTCCAGAACAAATTTGGGAATGGGGTTGTAGCAGATCAGTGAGAAGATGTTTTCTGTCCTTTTTATCCATATTTAAAATAAAAATTTTATGGCCAATTCTTTTTTCAGCATGTTGATCACAATTTCTTTTAGTTTGTCTCCTGGTTTTAGAGCTTTGGGATTTCAGTTTTACCACATTTCTTCAGAAATATATTTTATGTGGAATAGAATTGGAGATTTTGTTATATTTATATCAATCCAGGAATCTCAYCCTGAAGAAAAATACCAAACACATTAAACGAGAAAAAAAAAAATTAAAAATCCCAGGTATTTTTAATATTTTATCACATGTACAATAATATTTTAGCATCTTTAACACTGCAGCTGTTGTTTTTCCTTCCTCCTGCAGCTCAGCCACCACCTCCTCTCCCCCAGCAAATGGGTTCGAAGGGGGCTTTTTGTATAAGATATTTTCTAAAAATAAAATCAATAAAACCCCTCTTAATAATACTAATAAAATTACTACCACGACTAACAATTAATGAAAATMATTTTAGTTCTCTTTACAAAAGATAAACCKCTCAATTTCTCCCGAGCCTGATATCTTTGTGCCCTCATTTCTGTGCCTTCAGAACCTGAATTTTTGCTGTGATTTTTGCAGCATTTCCCAGCAGACACAGGGGTGACTTGATGTGTCCCAAGAWTTTGAAGAGTTCCTGACAAAAACGAGAGTTAAATTCGCGACTTTAAATGCAACCTGGAGCGCTCCAGTGTGCAAACGAGCCCGTTCGTTTTTTACTTTCGGCGCTATGAATAATCGGTTTTTAAATACTAYTTTCTGAAGCCGTTTTTCTGGGGAAGGGCTGTAAAGGATCGGTTGCTCTTGCCAGGATGAAGGAGAGCATTTTCCCTGAAAATTTCCCCCTCTTCCCTGCATTTYTGTGGGGCTGCCGCATCCGAAATACCAAATAATTTTATTTTCTGTTGCATAACGCATTTGTCGGCGCAGAAGCCGCCGCTGCAGAAAACACGGGCGGTCACCACTACCACGTTTGTAGTTGATATTCCCAACCCGGTTGGAAACAATTAGTGCAACAGGATCAAAGCCGGCACAACCCGACTCCAAATTAGCCTCCTGCACACTCAGAATTTTTTTTCTGTCCATCTAACTCTGGTTTCAGCCAGGGGCTGGAGCAGCCCGCGCCCTCATCCTTCCCGGCTTCTCGCATCGATTTTCACAGGAGTTTTGTCCAAATCCACGCGGAATTAACTCCCCCAAAAGGCAGACATTCGTTTTCTGGACTCTCCTCGTCATCTTTGACGGTTTGAACCTCCCGAGGAGCCCGCGGAGAGCCCCGGGCGTGCGGCCGGGAGAGGCAGCGATCGCGATTTACTCACCCTGGCTGTCCGCACCGAAAGCCTTRAAGTCCAGGGCGAGGGGTGGTCGCCACGGGTAGGTCTCCAGGAGCCCGTCCAGAACCCCCCTGAGGGGTGAGAGCGCGTTGAACGGAGCCGCGGGGCCGGCGAGCGGGGGAACGGGCTGCGGGGCTGCCCCGACCCTTACCTGTTCCTGCCGGGGTCCCGAAAACCTTTGGCGAAGGGGTTTCTGTCGATCTTCAGCTTCGTGATCTGCAGAGGGGAAGGGAAGGGGCCGCTGGGCAGCGGGGCGGGCTGGGACCGGCGGCCGCGGCCATCGGGGCTCTCCATCCCCCCGGGGCTCTCCATCCCCCCGGGGCTCTCCATCCCCACGGGGCTCTCCATCCCCCCGGCTCCCGCTACCTGCTGGTTCTGGTAGGCCGTCACGGTGGTGAACTCGGTCTCCTGGAAGGAGAAGGTCTGCACCCCCTCGGCCGGCAGAGACTGGATCTGCGCTAGATCGAAGCGAGAATCTTGGGCGATAACGTGGACGCGGGGCTTGTACTTGTGCATGGACTGCAGGATGATCTGTGCGGGGACAGGCGGCTGAGCCCCCCGGRGGGAGAAGGGCACCAAGAAAACCCGAGGCGAGGCTCAGGAGGGACCCAGCCCTGAGCCCCGGGGCAGGGGGGATCGGGCGCTGCCCCCGGGTGATGTTCCACATCCCGGGGTGATGCTCTGCCCCTCCCCGGCCCCCCCGGCGGCCCTGCCCCAMACCTACGTGCCCCTTGTCGTCCATCTCGTTGTTGGTGAGCTTCACGCGGTCGAAGCTGATGATTTGCCTCATCCACGTCTCCCCCGAGCAGGGCGAGTCGGGGTGGATGTAGAGGCGCGGGGTGATGCAGGAATGGTCCGTGTTCCCCGCCACCATCCACTGCGAGCTGTGATAAACGTACCTGGCCCGGCCCGGGYGCGTCAGGAGCCCGTCCCCGCCTGCCCCCCACACCCGCGCACACCTATGGATTCTATAGGTGCGTGCGGCCCCCCGGCACCCCTGTGCGACCCCCGTGACACAAACGGCACTCGACAGGGCGCAGATGGCGGCCAGCAGCGCAGGAAGGGTCCCGCGTGGGTCTGGGGGTCCCCGCCTGTCCCCCCCGTACCTGTATCTTTTGGAGTCCACGGGCACCACGTCGATGGCGATGTAATATTGCTGCAGCGGCTCCAGCCCCTTCACCTTGACCCGGACCGACGGGAACATCCTCCTGCGGGCACAGGGACAGCGGCTGAGGGAGAACTGCCGCTCACGGGGCGAAAAGGGRCTGCGGAACTACGAACGGGCGTCGGGAGGAAGGGAAATCGAACTCAACGAAAATARCGAAAAAAGGGGCAAACGGAGTGAAACATCCCAACAGAACACAAAAYTCCCAGACAACAAATCCCCCAAGAAACAACATCACTCCCCCAAAAAAAGAATTAAAGAGAAATTGAAGAAAATAAAACCAAAAGGGAAAAGCGAAGCCCTAGCGAGGCGGCGGGGGGGCGGCCGGTACCTGCCGGCCTTGGTGATGATCATCTCGGTGCCGATGTCGTGGAACCTCCGCCAGAGCTCGGAGCCCTGCAGCTCCACCTGCACCCCTCCCTGCCGGCTCTCGGCACCGGCCTTGGGCCGCTTCTCTGCGGGAAACACAAAGGGCAGGGGGCGGCTCGGGAGGCTGCCGGGGCAGGGGGCGGCCCTGGCTCCCCGCAGCACCGGSCTCCCTCCGGTACCCACCCGCCTCCGGGGCTCTGCGAGCCGGCCGGCAGCCGGGGCCGGGCTCCTCATCGCGACCCTCCGGCACCTTCCTCTTGGCCGAGCGTCCCACCAGGGCTTCCACCGAGAAGGCGTGAGCCCGGGAGCTGAGCGCCATCCTCCCCGGGCTGCCGGGGGTCYCCCCGGGCGGCAGCGGGGCTCAGGCGGGCGGCGGCGGCTCCATCCCGGCCGGCACCCAGCGCCCCTCGCCCGGCCGCCGCACGGCTCCCGTCGGGGGGCAGCGGCCACGGCGAGATCCTCTTGCATCCAACTGAGTCAATAGACGGCTGCAGCCTCCTCTGTTTGTTTTGGAAACTGGTGGGAGCATAAGAAACATTGAGTGACATTTCATGGGAGTAACGGGAGGGGGGAGAGGGGGAGGGAGGGGAGAGCCAGAAGGGTGGGGGGGAGAGGGGGAAGAGGAGCCGGCCCCGTCTAGGATCAATAAAAGAGTTACTGTTCTCCATTAAATTGTAAAACTCAAAGAAATTTGACATAATTGCACACTAGGGGCCACTTTCCCAACAAAAGTGCAAATAACGTTTAACCAGAACCAGCGCAAAAGGGAAAAAGAAAAAAAGAAAAAAAGGGGGGGAGTAGAGAGAAAGGGAAAAGATTAACAAAAATAAAAGAGAATAAAAGAGAGAAAAGGGTGGAAAAAGAAAGAAAAAGGCAGGAGGAGAGAAATAAAAGAGAGAAAATGTAGAAGAAAAAGGGGAAAATTGGGGATACAAGAAAAGGGAGTCGTGCCCCGCCTCTGCTCCTGCCAGGCTGCCCCCGCGGGCCCGTCACACGCGGCCCCTCCGACACGACAGTCACGGTGCCACCCCTGAGCTGYGACAGCGCCGGGCAGGGGTTCCAGCATTGTCTCCCGTTTTTCCTTTGCTTTTTGTTTGTTTGGTTGTTTTTGGGGTGTTTTTTAAGTCAGCAAACCCGCCCCGCCCGCTCCGCCACCCCCCCTCCCCGGCTCCGCTTCAAAGCGCGGCCCCGCCGCCCGCGGCAGCTGCGCTGAATTAGGGGCAGAAATCCCCGTTTTCCATTTGGACAGTCCCGGGAAACTCCTCCACGGCCGGGCAGGGCAAGGTCGGSGCCGGGGGGCTCTGCCCGGGCCCCTCAGGTGCGCAGGGAAAGCGCTGCGCGGGATTTGCGCGGCGTTTGCGCCCCCGCTCCGGGGACCTCCCCGCCCTGCACAGGCTGGAACCCCCGCGCTGATTTATTTTCCACCCAGAACCGTCCCCGGAGCAGGCAGCAAAGGGGATTCTGGGGCTCAGGCGGGTTTTGGGGAGGGGGGAGTRGTGCTGTCCCCGCTGAGCAGGGGTGGTGTCCACCCCCCGTCCCCTGTGCACCTCTGGCCCCGCAGCCTTTCCTGCAGCGGGGAGGTCAGCCGGGATAGATGAGCCTTAACGGGAAAAAAATGTGGAAAGGGATAAAATTCACAGGCCAGCTGAGAAAGCAGACTGAGGAGGGGAGAGATGCCACAGACTTTGGGACAGGGGTGCAGCATTCCATGTCCTGCTTCCAGGTGCTGGGAAGCTCTGATACATCAGAAGCTTTGATAGATCCAAATGTTTCACWTTTCAGGATTTCTTGCTCTGTTTGTTACAGTGGGTATTCTGGTGCATTCATTCCTGAATTTTGGGCTGGCAGCAGGTTGTCTTTGTGAAGAGCATGGAATGGTTTGGGAGGGGAGGGCCCCTTCAATCTCATCCATTCCCAATCTCATCCATTCCCACCCCTGCYGTGGGCAGRGTCACCTCCCACTGTCCCAGGGTGCTCCAAGCCCTGTCCAGCCTGGCCTTGGACMCTTCCWGGGACAAGGCAGCCACAGCTTCTCTGTGTCAGTATTTGTTCCCAAATGTGTATTTTAAATGCCCCAGACTCACATCCTTGCCCTCAAATCTCCATCCCATGGATGCTCCTTGCTCAGCTCAGGGTGGGCATTACCATGGATATCAATAGACATTTATATGCATTTATAACCATTTATACATTTTTAGCAGACATTCACACACCAAGTTCCTACCATATATCACCGGGACAGGGATTTGACCAGGGAATAAACCTTGGAGGAAGTGAATGGGTGCAGATACAGCTGCCAAAAGCCCAAGCTCAATATCCGGCCTGGACATCAGGTTGGGAGCCTCCAGCTTCTCCAGCTGCTGACCTTCCTCCAGTGCCAGCTCTGGTGTGGACCATAYCTGCAGCCTGATTTGGGAGCAGAAAGTTGGCATCCCAACTTCCCAAAGTCTGAAAGTTGTAATCTGAGTTATGGATGGGCTTGGCCCTGTGTTATTCCATCTTTCCATGGATGTCCATCTGCAGTGGCCTCTGGTGTGGTTTTGTTTCCTACAGGGACATCCAGGTGCTCCTGCAGATGCTTCTGTAGGACAATGTCCATCCCACYRTCCATCCTCTGCAATGTCACTCCWCAGGATAGTGGTTCATGGCAGGAGGGTTGGAATTAGATATTCTATGGGGTTCCTTCAAACCCAAAGCGTTCTGTGATCCCTTGTGGCAAGAAATGAATGGAGAACAGGGCAGGGGAAGGGAATTTGGAGTTACCTCTTGCTCCCAGGTAGGATCAGCCCCTCCTATACAGATTTAATTCTTCTTACAAAGAGAAATTAATCGAATTTGATGAACATGTTCATAATTAGAAGAGCATAAGCTCATGATTTCGAGGTGACTGGCAGGTCGTGGCCAGCACTGATGGAAGCCAGCTGAGGGCACTGAGTGTGAACCTTTATCTCTGCTGACATGACATATTATTAAAAAGTATTTCGAGTAATCTTTGATTTCCTCAGCATTGCAACACATTTCAAGAACTTGGCTGGGGATCAACCGAGCCTTTTTAATTTCCTACACTGAAAAATAAAACAAAAATCAAGCCCGATTGAGATGATATAATCAGGAACATTTTGAGGGTTTAGGTCAAATTAATGTGTCAGAGAAGGGTTTTCAGGGGACTTGGAGAGCTTTAATCTGTCAAAGGCTGACTCAGAGCCTGCTTGGGCTTTGTAATCTTATTGTCTTTATGGAATTATGGGATGGAATGTCCTGAATTACCATCATCAGAGAGTCCAGCAAATAATCAGTTGGCATAAAGTTCAGAATAAYGAAGTTAATTTTAAAGCAAGGGTTAGACAATATGCCAGAAATGTTTGCTTAACTTGGAAATGATCTTTTAATACTGTCCATTAATGTGTGAAAGCACTCAGGTAACCTCCAAACACCGCCTTGCCTGGCCACTTTGGGGACAGATTTTAGGAGATTGAGTTGGGTTCAAGCTGTGCTCGATTTTGTCAAGATTTGCTTTGCATTTACTAAAACAAAAGAAAAACAACAACAAAACAAACCAAACCTGCCTGGTGGCTTAGAGGTAATATTTTGATATCACCTGAACTCAATTATGCATCTAACATTTGCCTCTTTTATATCTCCACTCCATCATCGATTTATACAAAGYTGCAATTATAAATTTGGTGCAGGGATATTTTTGGTTCTAGCAGATAAATTCAAGGATTTTTCAGGATAAACTCAACAATTGTTCATTCCCTGCTTCACAGATCATTAGMAAGAAAATATTTATTCATTTAATATTTGGGAAAATCCTGGTTTCCAGCCCTGCAGCCTCTGATCAGAGGGATCCAGCACTGTTACTCGAACCTGGCTCCCAGAAGAGCCTCAGCCATTGCTCCTCCAGTGTTTAATTCAATGATAAGTAGTCATTAATTAAATGGTGAGTAGTCAAGTTTACAACTGGGTGTGTGTGCATCTCTTCCCACTGGGTGTATAGGAGATGGGACACTCTGAGCAATATTTTGGGTGGTGKAACTCCTCCTGTCTCACAGGGATGCAGCTGGAGGGAGCAAAGCAGAGAATCCTGGGCTGATCCCCTGTCCCTGTTTGCTTTTCCCATCCCAGCCTTGGTGGCACCATCTGCTCTTTAAAAACATTTCCTTTTCTTAAAAAAAAGTATTTTAGGATTGATTTAATCCTTTTTGCACATGCTATGAACTTGTTACTCCAGTTGGCTTTTTTTTCCTGCTTTTCCAACCTTGCTTCTTACAGTAAATACAGAATGAGATTTTTAAAATCYGAATCTATTCACTTGTAAATCAGAGAATATCAGAATYRTTTGGGTTGAAAGGGACTTTAAAGGCCAYCCAGTCCCACTCCCTGCTGTGGGCAGGGACATTTTCCACTATCCCARGYTGCTCCAAACYCTGTCCAGCCTGRCCTTGGACACTCCCAGGGATCCAGGGGCAGCCACAGCTTCTCTGGGCAACCAAAATCTGACATATAAATATATAATAAATGTAGCTGAAGATGCTTCCTCCCATCTGTCAGGGATACACCCACACTGAAGAAATGCAAGCAAATATCCAATATTCCAATGTGCAAATCATATCCTTTCCTTGGAGGTTAAAATTAGACTTATGGGTGAGACAGTGCCACAAAGAGCTGCCTGATCCACACAGGAAAGGGATGGGAATTTGTTATGGGAGGATCTTAAAACTGGAATAAAACTGTTTCTGAGTGCCCTGGAGAGGCTTGCACTGGAGAGGATGTGAGGCAGCTGAATGACCCTTCTGGGGGCTGGAATAACATCAGGTTGGGCTCTACRGGAGCTGCAAGTGCCAATATTCAACTCGAATTTTTGTAAACATAACCACCATTTCACAGGAGTCATTAACTAATTAGTCATTAACAGATTAACAAATATTTCTTTTTCCTGAAAGTCTTTCAAACAAAAACTGCTGAAGGCTGAGGAATTCTTGGCAGAAAACACCCRTGGTAGCATAACACAGCGCTCAGGAGATTGTTTTCCCTGACATTCTCAAATGTCCYGTTCCCCAGCACAGCTTTAATTTCATTCCAGGATTATTTTGTCCCTCATGAACTTTGAAGAACCCCTGCTCTTCTGTGACTCTGTCCTGTCTCCATCCCTGCTGGGCTGTGGCACCTCTGGACTGACCCCATCCAAACCAGGAGGTTATGGCAAGGTGTCCCTGTCCACAGGACAATCCTGAATTTATTTTATGTCAAAAATGACAGATCTGAGCAAGAAATGAGCAGTTTATGGTGGTGGCCAACCAGTGCTGAAGTTTCTTGGTT